ACTCGTGTGGTGTACGCTTCTTGAAAGCATTTCTTCAGGCATTTGAAAGATGCTTAGTTAAGGTTTTTTGTAATTAGCAATTGAAATCTGAGAAAGATGAAAAACATAGCTTCTGGAGAGAATGGGATAATAAAATCTGTAATTTCATGTATCTTTTCATGTATCACCCTCCAGAAAGAAGCTATAAAGTTCCACCAAATCCTCAGTGATGTTCCAATCCCTCTTTAGAAGCACAAATATGTCTCCACCACTGATAAATGCGTATGATGTAGGATCTAAGAGGACCTAATCAATAGCTTATAATTCAGATCCTGCACTTTAGTTGAAACTGAGCTTGGGTATGACAAAATAATTATTTTTTCATTGAGGTTCAAGAAGAGTATTTCCAAACTCAAACTCCAATCTAGAGAGAAACTTAGGGGGAAGTTGGGGATGTGAAGTTAATAGAATTTGATATAAGGTGGATTTGCCTCTATGTAAATTTTCATGACAGATACAATGTTTTTCAAATTATGTAAACTTCATAGACAACATTATGTATACCCTGTAGGAAATGATAATATTGTATCAGCTCAATTTTATTGGACAGAGCCTTAGGACCATTTGAGGTTCTGAGTAAGTAATGATATCCAAGTTAATTTAATGCCAAGAATAAGACATTTTCACAACTAAGGACCCTGGCCAAATCCGTGTGATCCTAAAGAAAATATAGACACTAGAGGATCAGCACAGATTTTGCTTTCTGGATTGTGTGACAAACATTTTTTGAATTAACCTTCATTGTGGTGTGAAGTTCTGGAAGAATCATTCTTGACAAATACATCATGAAGCTCAATACAGTAAAACTGATTTTAAAAGAAAATTCTAATGGAATCGAGGACAGAGCCATTCATATGCTACTGCATAAGTGTGAGCAAATAGGCATTTCAATAGGGATAAAGGGAAGAGTAAGACACAAAAAAGGTGTCAGGAGAAATGACAAAAGATGCTAGTCTCATATTGCCAGAGGAAGTGAAAAGATCTCTGCTTAAATGTCTAGATAGTTTTCTTCAAGAGCTGGAGATTGGTTCAGTTAACAAGGATCACATTTTCTAAATGTTCATTGTTATTCAGCTAGACAGTTTAATTGTTACAACAAAAAAACAATGCAATAATGTATTCCAAACTTGACTGTGCTTTATTATGAATTCTCTGCTGAAGAGATCATTGTGGAAGTTAGAAGACTACATCTGGAGGCTGCTCAGATCAGGGTTGAAGAAATAGATGGCATTGCAAATTCTAGATTATATTGTGAAGTGGGATTTTTGTGAATCTCCTCAAGCTTGACACTGTAGTGTTAGGAATTCAATGTGTGGCCATTTAGGCGACAGCCCCCACCTGCAAGGAGAGAAAAATTATTTTACTTATCATTTCTCCCTCGCAACGCCGGTTCCATGGTTGGTCCTGCCTCCTTGGCTGAGGTCATTTACATCAATGATCTCAGTCAATCAAATGCTTTCCCTATTGGGAGGACAGTGCGCATCTTTAACAAAACACCATCCTGCACCAATCAGATTGTCTCTATGAGACCATCTGAAAGAAATAGCAGAAGCCTCTTTCCTCAGAAGTGCCTCTAGTGGCGGGCACTTAAACCCAGCAATGAAAGAATCACTGTTCTGCAGAGCGGCAATGTTTTCAGCTGAAATGTTAAAATGAGGGGTCTATGGAACTCGGACTACTTCAACGAGATGAAGTGGTCTGGCTACCTGTAGGACCTAATGATTATTACTGTCTGTATATCAATTGCTTCTTGTGAAAGTAGCTTTTCAAAATTGAAATAATTAGGATTTTTTCTTTACTGTTCTCTGGTTACTGGGTTCAGTAAAAATTTATTTTCACAATATAGATACACTCATATTACAAGATAAGGGATACAATATAGCCTCTAAAACATTTATTTTTCTATTCACTATTTCTATAAAGGAAAAAAAAATAAGTATATGTGCAACATTCTAGATACCCAGATCAGTGATCTATATATAAAAGCACTGGTTTGTATTACTTACATTTGTGCTGCATAGGATGTGAGATAAATGTTACAGAAATTACCCCCCGCCCCCCAAAAAAAAGAAAAGACTAGACAGTGAAAGTGTTAAAATCATTTCACACTGCATGATGCATTTTATATGTAACATCAAAGGTTGAAGTGGAAATCTTTTTAGACTAACTTTACTTTCCCTGTCATTAGCCAAGTATATATAACAGTATGAGTCACTGATTGATCAACCTGTCCTTGTCTAAAGCGAAAAGAGTTCAAATAAAAACAATAAAGTCATTACTGCAGTTAGTACCCTTGAGATGTCTATGGAGGCATTTCATAGTCACAATTGGCCTTAATCACGATGTTTTTAACAAAATTAATATACATTTAATTTTATATATATATATATATATTGCATCCAAGTAGAGAGCACTCTGGAGTCTTCGTTTTATATCAAAATAAATACTGCTTTATTGTGCAGAATATAAAACATTTTGTATTCTGCACAATAAAGCAGTATTTATTTTGATATAAACCGAAGACTCCAGAGTGCTCTCTACTTGGATGCTATATATTGGTCAGAGATTACTTGCACCGGAGCATGGAAAAGACCGGGAACATTGAGTGCTGGGACCTGAAAAAATAAATAAATATATATATATATATATATATATATATATATATATATATATATATATATATATATATATATATATATATATACCTATTAATATATATAAATATATATATATATATATATAGTATTTATTTAAAAAAACCTAAATTAAGATAAACAATTTATTTCTCATCTGCAATTCATGTTATACACATAAGAGAAATGTTAGAAGTTTTTCAATCCAAACTAATTAATATTTATTATTTACATTTTCAGAGACACTAACTGGCCCTTTAATAGCACACATACACATTATCTTCATTTCTTTTTTGTGACATTTTGCAGGATCAGACGTGCTTTTGAAATATTTATATATTCAGTGACATTTTCACAGAATAGGAAGTTTCCAGTGACTACAGGAGACCCCTCCGTTTCAATTGAGTAAAAACAAATGGATTCCTAGTTTTAACGAGATTCTCTTTTTTTTCTGTAAAATGTCATAGAGATGCATACATGATGACATATTTTTCAGGTGGTACTGTGTGTGAATTAAGCTTAAATATCATGGAAACCCAGAAAATGACAAGTGATAAAGACCACTTAGTCAAACCATACTTCATAATAATGCCCAGACCTGACTAGTTCTGACTTTTAAATACATATTTAAAATGAAATTGTGTATATCAATACCAGCGAAACAGTCAGCTTATTATTTCATTGGCTTTTGTCTGAATATTCTACCATTTCTTTTAAAATAAATGCAGTTCAGTATATCCTCAGTTTTTCTTTATCTGATCAATCATGATTACATATATTCTTTGACCACGGATTAAAATGTGGATAAAGAGGCTGAAAAATAATTCTCATTGAATTTTCCAAAAATGGAATCCATCAACCTTAGAGCTTCACTTTCTGATGACCAGAGTTAAACAGATATTATATAAATAGCACTTGCATTCTAATCACTGAACTGCCCTTCTTGGACCTTTCTGATTATTAATGAAACTGCCCAAGTTATGTGGTTGGTGATCACAATACAGTACAATACAATACATAATTAGTGATGTCGCGAACCGTTCGCGAACTTGCCGCGAACGGTTCGCCGTGGTTCGTGGCGAACTCCGGTCAGCTGACACATCCCTGCCAATCTCCGGCAGACCCTTCCTCCCAGACCCTCCCACCTCCTGGACAGCATCCATGTTGAAGCTGCCTTCAACATGGATGCTGTCCAGGAAGTAGGAGGGTCTGGGAGGGAGAGTCTGCCGGAGATTGGCAGGGATGTGTCAGCTGAGCAGAGTTCGTCGAGAACGGTTCGTGGCTAACCGTGGCGAACCATTCGCGGCAAGTTCGTGAACGGTTTGCAACATCACTATACATAATGTTATTCATTTTTTTGTTAGTAGTGTCTGTATGTACCATTATTTTTAGTTCACACATTTTCAGAATTTTTGTAAAACACGAGAAACAGACAAAGTTGAGCTATAAAAAATAACCAACATGGTCATGAAATAAATATTTTTATTCTACCTTCTCCTCTGCTTGGGAATAACAGGCACAGTGTACACTATATGCAGGTATCCACCAAGAACTAAACTGCCCCATAGATGACTCATGTTCCTCTGGAACTGCTGAGACACATAACTGCTCAGTAAAAAAAACTGTATTTCCACTGGTCTATACCAGAGGAAGTTGACTAACCAAATGAAGAATATTCAATTTCAATTTGGCTGCAATATATCTGTTTGTGAATAGTCAGATCAGTCAAGATGTATTGTATTTAGCTAATTTCAACAATCGGCTATACAGCCAAATGCAAGAACAAATTCAGCTAGAACAATTGATTGTTAAAAAAAATAAAAATGTGGCATCTAAACTCAGCATCCATTCAGTTGCCATTCTGTGTTTCTTGAAAATACATAATTGTCTTTTCTTGTCCTCTGCAGTAATACATTGTAGTAAACATTGTAGTGACCTGCAAGCAGAACAGTCGCATGGTGGAGGAGCTCCCGCCAAACAAACGGTTTCAAAGGGAAATACTCACAGTTTTCAAGCATGCAATGATAGTGGGGTACGCTACCCATGTTGGGGGCTCTCTGGTGAATCACCCGATACCAAACTTAAATGCATCCCATAATCGTGCAACCGAGGCGGCAGGCTGTGGCCTGCGGCCTGCAGTGGACGGAGCTGGGGGGAGACGGCCGCTGTCCTCGCCCCTACACCGGAGACAACGAGCCACTGACTACCCGCTCCCCCCGCTCAGGACTGGTGGGGGTGATCCTGGTCCAACCCCTCCAGGCAGCAGGGATACGATGAGCGCTGATAACGGAACCGCACAGGCAGCCCTTTGCTACATGGGCCTACACAATGGCGGACGCCACATGTGACCGCAACTTCTATACAGAACGGTACCAAATTCTCACCAAGCTTGATGCCCTAATTGAGGCCTTCTGGGCAAAACTGACTGTCAGAGAGCGGCAGGCCATGGAACCAACGCACATGCCCATCAGAGAACTCGCACATACCCGACACAGCTGCACGGGCCTTCGCCTGACGAGACCTACATTATGGCGCTGGAGAGGGAGTCCCCTCCCGTCTGCACTCAAACAGGCAAGACCAAGCCGCATAACGATACCAACCCGAGGTGGCCCACAAGCTCACCATAGACTGGGCAAGAAGCAGAGACCCACAACGCGACCAACCACTGGCAAGCTTCCCTCACGGCCCCGAACCCTCCCGATATCACGGAAAGCCCCAGAGAATCAGAAGGGTACTCCACTTACCTGCATCATCAAAGCGGGCCTCCACAGCGACGTGCGGACGAGCCGGCCACCGAAACCAGTGACGTTGCACCTAGCAACCCCCCAGCAGGATTGGCAAGTATCCCTAACATCTTTCCCTGTGCTGGGCATAGGCTGACAGTGAACTCACATGTCGGGACTCACAGAGGTTCATACCCAAAACCTCTGCTGCAATGGACGCTGTCTATGCCACACTGCAGCCTCCTCAACAGAGATACACTGACAACGCAGAACTTTAAACAGACACTCACTGTTTGACCGTTTTTATTTAGTTCGCAATCTCACTATAATAGTCTCATACACGTGTAATGCATTACCACACATACCACTCACGCGCTCAGACAGCTTGTCACCTACTCACTTAACAAGGCAAAGCCCGCCTGCCTGGCAATCTCCATGTATATTCCTCTTTATATACATACGCGACTCACAAGCATGTATCATAACAACACTTCACCATGCTTCTTGCCATTGTGCCACTTAACCTCCCTGATAATCCCACCTGCTACACCTATGGCACAGGGCAACTGACATTGATATCATACCGACGCTCATACAACTACTCAGCCCTAGAGGCATCGCTATCCTCATAGGCTTAAACCATGCTCAGTCTTGAAATGTTCCTGATTTTACTCAAACTGTTTATTTTACTCCTCATAGTTCTCAGCCTGGATGAAACTAAGGTTATAGACAGTTCTAACTAGCCTGACCTTGTGCTGTTAATGCTTGCCATGCTACTGATTATCCTGTGTTATTCCATTGGCTTATATCAGCTGTCGTGGCGATATAAGCGTGTTTGTAATTCTAAGCACTACAAAAAATAAAGAACTTAAAATATATATATATATATCAAAGTAAAATAAAATATAAAATAAGTAAATACTTTATTTAAACTTACAAATAAAATGTATATCAAATAATTAATATTGGCGTATATTCCTAGAGCTAGGTTATAGCTCCGGAAAATGTGAATGCCCCATTACTCTGTTTTACTATATAGATATACTAAAGGGTACTGCACCATTTTTTGGAAATTGGATTGCTAGGCTGATTTGCTAGTGTTGTAAATGCAGAATGTGTTAATGAACGGTTTGACTGATTGTAACAACTATAATCTCATATATGGTAAACCAAGTAGTGAACTCAAATCTGTTTCTCTGTCGTGCAAAAGGGCAATACTCTAACATCTGTTAAAAGGGTAGCATATTTTATTTAATTTGTTCATGTGCACTGAACACAGCATTGGAAGAGAGACTAAGAGACGACAAACATAGGTCAAGAGTGTGCAACCAAAGGTTTAGACTTTTCAATACTGCAGGGGCTTGTGTTATTCTCACTGTCAAGTGTTGCTCACTTACCAGCTTTGAACAGGTTCCAAAAAAGACCTATAAGAGAATGAAACATAGCAAATCATTATTTGAGCAGTGACACTTGGCAACATGTACGGGAATTCAAATTAACTTTTCCACAGTACAGTACCTGTACTTGTTTTTTGCCATGTAAATCAAAGAATTGCATTTGGCATAATATATAGTGAAAAGCAAAAACGTTATTTATATTTTTTTGCATGATTAATTAAAAACGGTTTTCAAGGTAACTGTGCTAAATTATGATAAGGGAAAACCTTTCCTGCTTGCATGAAGCATATTTTATAACCTTTGCTAAGAACTTTTATGGAAAACAAAGAATACAAATGACATTCAGTTTTTTTAGAATGTTGAGGTCAAAAGTGACATTCACAATTTAAAAATAATTTATGAATTTCCAAGTCAATTGTACTTGATCCTTATCTTCGTTACCCATTATACTGAAATTTCTTCCCTGGCATTAATAAATAATAAAAAAAACACATTGCTCATTTTTAAATTAATTGCTACATAATTAAAATATATATGTACAAAAACTACAATGTACAAGATGAAAAATAAAATATAAATGTCATCTAAACTTGGAAGGCACATATAGTTTGGTGTCTTCCCAAAGCTTGCAATCAATTGGAGGCTGCTGCAACATACATGAAAGGAGCAACGTCTTTCACAATAAGAACACATATGTCCATAGGCTTCTGAAATGACAGGGCAGATCTAGCAGGGTAGACATTTCCCAACCTGAGATGTGGCAAATGAGACATCCTGTGACAATGTAAATGCAGTGTTTGAGTATGGAGATTTCATTGTTATGTACTTGATTTTATGTAGCTGTTAGCAATAGTAATGGGTGCGTTTGAAACATCCAAACTCAATAATAAGTAGGGATTTCCATATACCCTTGTTCATATTGTGCATATAGATAGTGGTAGAGAATGCGTGAGTGAGAGAGAGAGTTAACACACGATAGTTAATGATAAACTATTTCTTATTTATAGATGTCTCCAGAACCCAAGATGACATAATGTTCCTTAATACACACTTATTGTTATCGTTCTTAAGGCATAGCATTATTTTTATTTTTTATTTTATTTTTTTTAGTTTTAGGGCTATGTCTAGCTTTACTGCTAGGGCTAGAGTTATGGTTAGGGTTAGGTTCAGGGTTATGAACAGAGCAGTGTTAATTCTAGGCACTGGGACATAAAAATCCTGTATGACTGCTTTTTCATTTGCTTCCCCCCACCCCTCACATTAACCGCTAATTTCCTGATAATGAAATGTTGGAAGTGGAACTGGGGAACAGGAAAGAGCTGAATTAAAGCGTTCGGATTGTAATCACTGCTCTAGTATAACCTAGATTTTGATATGGGTCAGTATAATATAAAAGAGAAAAGATAGCACAGATGAAACAAACTCACAGAATTAGTGGCAAAAATCTTTCTAATATGGTGCCAATAATTAATGGTGATATTAAAAAGGGAATACAACACTTAGCTTTTGTTTTTGTATCTTTAAAGGTCCAGTGACAGTGAGTGTCCCCTTAAAATATACAAATACGTGTCTGACAAATAATAGACAACATAACATTAGCCATGTATAAGTCAAAAAAGTATGTTTTTTTTCTAATGAATGACTCATTTATGACCCAACACAGATACAGCATAACATGCATTAACATTTCTAAACATAGTAAAGTATCACGGAAATCCATTTGTCCAAGTGGAAATTCCAAAATGAAAATATCAGACATATTTAAACTAATGGACTAAATTAGTTTGGGACAAAACTACATTTATTTTGTTCAGAATTGATTCAAACAAACCAAACATTTCTACACTTCTCAAGTCTAACAAAGTTCAAGTCACATGAGCAAGTTTTTTGGTCAATGGCTGAATCTAGAAAATGCTATTATGCAAAAGTACCCCACCAGCCGTATACTAATACACACTTTTCAACAAAAGAGATGAATTATTGAATACTATACATAATATATCTCTAACGGATTCATGTCTTCATACTAATTAATTGTTTAGTTTTAAACCACAAAATCTATACACACGCATATTGTATAGGCAATATCTTTTTACGTATTCAGCTGTGAATTACAACATATTTCAGATAATATATTTCAGCTTTGCTTTTAAATACTACTCTTTCTACTGGGATGTCTTCTGTTTGTCTTGAAACTTAATAGAACATGTTTCAATAAATAATTGCCATTGAATTTTCTATTTAAAACACTGCAAGATTACATAGTTGTGTAAAGATTTTCTCAAAGACTCAAACTAAGTGCCTTGCTAACAGAAACTCCCTCTGTTGATTCAAAACCCAGTTTATATTCCCACAGATGTCTAACAAGCTGCGTATATGGACCTAGATTATAGACAGGAAAAAATCAATAGCATGCTATCTCAAAGGCACCAATATAGATTATGAATCACAGCTAGGAAGTCATGAGTGATCTTAGCTGCCAACAGAGCCTAAGTAAAGATATTTGCTATCTAATATTGCTTTTCATACCTGAATCAGAACGTATTGAATTTGATACGTAGAAAACCATGTACAAAAAAAAGACTTTGCATTACACATTGCATTACAACTGAATTTATATAAAAATAAGTGTTGTTAATAATATGGATTATTAATAGGGAATACAAAAAAAAAATGAATTGAATTTGAATTTATGAAAGAATCCAAGTACAATACTAAATATAGAGTGGTTTTACTTTTTATAATTATTATTATTATTACTATTTATTGATTAAAAATGCTTGACTAGACCTGTGCATAGTGTTAAAATTGTTAAATTGGTCAAACCACCTCAGAATTTCATGCATGTTGCAGTCCTGCTCATCAGATTTCACCCATCAAACAGAATTGGGAAAATTAATTAGACAAACCAAAAGGGCACAGTAATGGGCCAATTAGTATACTGAAAAATATTTACATAATATGAATATTATGTAAATATTTTGCATTACACTGACAGGTGCATTTTCCCGCTAGTAGATTCACAGATCAAATGTGAAACAGGAACCAAAAAATGGGACCAGTAAAAAAAACAACTATATATATTTTCATATATTTATTAAATTAATAAATTAATATATAAGGAATTTAAATAGTTAATAGATGTATATATAGATTTTTACTGAATAAAATCAACAATTATTGGCCCTTTGCCATCAACCATGGAGCTCTGAATCACAAATCAAACGAAAACTCTCATCCATTGCACAAGTCATTTGTTTCATGATCAGTATATGTGGCAGTTCACAAATTGGGAATTCAGACAACCCAATCAGCTCAAATTTGGACAAATTGCAGTTCATAACAAGACAAATATACAAGTCTTCCACTGACTGTGTTGCAGATCCTTACATATATATATTGACATTATCTAACACTAGTATTAATATAATGTTGGGATTGTTTGGGGTTAAATGACCCTGGCGAATTATTGTCACATATTGTGAGACTTAAATACTTGTTCACAGGTCTTTAGAATTAAAAGATAATACAATTTGCGGACACCATTTTCTACTTCTTATTCTAGTCTATACATATATCAAACTCAGGGGTGTGCACGGTGGCACTACAAAATGAGCGTTCATGGTTCTGATTGGACCGCCCTTCTCGACCTACTGGGAGATCAAAAGCGCTTCATGATGGCTCTTTAGAAATTAGACCCCTGGTGGCCATGGTGCAGCCACACTCCTATGCGATTCTGGTGTGTAGTTCCTGTATCATT